GCCCAGCCAGTACCTGAGCAATGGCAGCCCCAGCAAAACTTCCCTCCCCGGTTTTTATTGCTGAGCACGATGTCATATGCTATGGAATATCCCTTTGGTCAGTTGGGGTCAGCTGTCCTGGCTGTGTCCCCTCCCAGCTTCTTGTGCCCCCCCACTAGCTGGCAGGGCAGTGTGAGAAGCAGAAAATGCCTTGATGCCTTGAAGCACTGTTCAACAATAGCTAAAACATCAGTGTGTTATCAACACTGTTTTCATCACAAATCCAAAACATAGCCCCATACAAACTACTATTAAGAAAGTTAACTCTATCCCAGCTAAAACCAGTACATCAGTTTACTTGTTATGTGGATCACTAACTCCTCGATGTACAATGGTTTTTCAGTCAGAATCACTACAGGGGTCATCTTTGATTTCTTCTTCTGAAGCTTTTTTATTTTGTAAAAATAACTGAATATTTACTGGAGTAGAACTTAAATCTGATATTCCCGCAGTCAGTGTGAACATTTTAATCAGCAGAATTTATTTTTGATCTTGCACTTTATCTCTCTGGAGCAATGAATGTTAAATGACATATAAAGTTGAACTCCAACTCTGAAACTCAACCCTGTGTATTCAGTAACTCGAAGATATACAGAGAGAGAGTACTTAAGACACTTTTCACTTGCATTTGGAGAATAGAGTCCACTGTTTCAGCTCTAAATCATGCCTCATGGGAATTTGAAAACAGTTTAACCCCTGGATATTTGCATACAATGGACATAGAGCTAAAAGTTTTGATATGTTGGGGAACCTGGACTGTGCCTTGCGGGTATGACAGAGAGAAGAATTCTCTAGAGACTTATGTGTGAGTACTTGGCTAAATATCTGTAAATTAGCTATATAATCTGAGCACCCCTCAGCACAAAGCCGGGATGAGCGGGCCTCGCACGTGCGCCTATGGTACCTCTGGTGCCGAGGGGTCGTCTGTGTGAACGCGGACACCACCTCGGCTCGCTGGTATCACGGCCGGGCCCGAGACTGGGCCCGGGCCCAGGCCCCACGGCGGTGCCGGGCCGTCATGCTCCCTGGCAACCGTTGCCAGGCAGCAAACGCGCAACTGCGCGCGGGAGAGACGGGGAGCGCATCTTCCATGCTGAACACCACGTCTGTAAAACTATGGGGGCTCACCCGGAAGCGCTTCTATGAGGGCGGTACTAGGCGCCGTGGTTGCTTTCGGGTGTGCAGTGCGTTTCCTCAGTTAGGTTTCTCCATCGTGACCGGTTGGCGCTGCAGACATCTTCCTCCGGGTTCCGCGCCTGCTGGCCTCCGACGCGGGGCTGCCCTCTTTCCGCCCGGCTCAGTCTCTGTTACCATTAGTCCCCTCTGCACGCTGAGTGATGCTGTTACGGGGCTCCGGAACCGCGGGACCGTGGGGGTGGATGACGCTGCTGCTGGTGGCCTGCGCGGCACGGGCCTCTGAGATCACTTTCGAGCTGCCTGACAACGCCAAGCAATGCTTCTACGAGGAGATTGTCCAGGGCACTAAGTGCACCCTCGAGTTTCAGGTACTCCTTGCTTCCCTCGGCCCCCGGGAAATCTCTTGTTATTTCACTTTTACCGTTAATATTAGGGTTTTAATAACTTAATACCTATATAAATCGGTGGGCACTCAAACTATGTTATGTGAACAGCCTATCTGAAGTGTTGCTTCCGGTGCTTGGCACCTCTGAATAAATCTTTATAGCATTATATGTTTGAATAGATATTTAAATATTTCAAATAAAACGTTTACTCTTTTAGAAAGCTTCTGTATGCATATAAAAGGGCTGTGCCTTTGGATAGAAGTCTCTTCATCCTTCAGGATGCTTTATCTTAAAGGCAAGAAGTTCGGAGCAAGGATTAAATTTAACTACTAGCCTGAGAGTCATCAGAATAGTGAGCTATGAATACCTAAATTGCCAGTTGCTCTTGCTGTGGAGATAGGATAGCTGGTCTGATTCTACAGAACAACGTGCTATAGACCAACAATAATCAAAGGCTGACAATACTTGAGACAATCATATGAAGTTTTGAGTTGCTTGTAGGCATAATCTGGATGTGCTGGTGTTGGAAAGAAATACTGTCATTAATTGTGCAGGAGTGAGGCAGCAGAACCTCTAAAATATTGCTCTGTTGACATGCACGCATGAAAATGAGCTAGGCTGTAATACCTGTTCTACTGGACATATGCCATTCCTGCAACATAAAGCAGCTTGACCTAATAGGCTAGTTAGACAGTTTAGGCCATTCATAAAGGAGCTGTTTTATTGCATTTTGGCAATCTCAACTTGCTGAATAAGTTGTATGGATGGGCTTGTGGATATGGTAAATTACTGATTTATTACAGCAATGCCTTTGCCCCATCAAATTTCATCTACTCTAGCCTTTGCTATAGTACCAGTATCTTAAAACAAAGTAACTAAAACTTCCCTCATAAACTGTTAGAAAACATAGTTGATATTACATATTCTCAATTTAAAAGATCTTATTTTGAATTGTTCTGTGCATCTTCCATAGGACGAGGATTTTTGCAAATTTGTATTGAAAGATTTTCAAATTAATGCATTTTATTTTAAAACATTTGTCAGATCAAACAATTTGCAGTGCTAGTTGGGGCAAGTGCTAGTTGGATGTTCTGCTTAAGACAATTTCTTGTTGTTTTCAGGTGATCACTGGAGGTCATTATGATGTTGACTGTCGATTGGAAGGTCCCGATGGTGCTGTATTATACAAAGAGATGAAGAAACAATATGATAGTTTCACATTTACTGCATCCAGAAATGGAACATACAAATTCTGCTTCAGCAATGAGTTCTCTACTTTCACACACAAAACTGTGTACTTTGATTTCCAGGTTGGAGAAGATCCACCACTGTTTCCTAGTGAGAACAGAGCAACTGCACTTACTCAGGTAAAATATTGTTGTGTTTGACAGCAACTGTTAGGTGGAGGGAATGTTTTTCAAATTCAACTGCATTAGATATTTGTATCACTGTTGAAAAGGAATGGGTTGGAGCTTCTTTAAAATAAACTGAGTTACTAAAAGTGAACTTTTTCCAAAAATTAGGATTTACAGAATGCAGAGCTGAGGAGGAATTACCAAGTGTTTAAGTGGAAATTAGGGAAAATATACAGTGGCCTAGAGTTTAAGGGAACTTTTTTATGCCATGGTTCTATGTCTGCGGAAGTGTGGATTTTATAAAGTGTAAAATATCAATGGATCAGGGTTTTCAAAATTCCTGAGCTTTGGATAAACTTTGAGAACAATTTGGTTTTATATTAAAATAGTTTAGAGTCTTTTTTGAGGGGAAGACTTGAATGGTCGATCTCTTATGTAACTGTCACTTTTAAAATGGGAAGATAATTCTAGCGAAATAAACAAATGAACAAAATCAGTCATACTTAACTGGCTTCTAGATATGTTGTTTATAAGACACTTAAGTGGCAAAGCAGTATTCTTATTTTCCTAATGTTCCCTTCTTTCTTCAGAATTTTAGTTTTACAACACTTCTGCCCAAACTAAATCAGCCAACTTCACCTGGAACAGTCACTTCGTGAATTCTCACTAACATTCTTACACTATAACTGTTACCAAACTTCACTTTAAACAACCATTTTAAAATGCTGGACATGGCCACTATTTTACTAATTTGAACTCAATGGTAGAAATGCCCACTTCCCAAATATCCATCTTACTCACTTGAATTTACCCCATGTAAGTCTGCAGTGGGTAAAGAGTTGTAATGAGTAGGTGAATTCAGTTATAATTCTTATCTCTTTCTTCTCATCACCTTTCTCTTCTGCTTTATGTTGTCTTTTGATTCTTGATCCTGTAGCTCCCTATCTCCCTGTACTTTCTTCAGTCTTCATTCTGTGCATTGTTACATGTTTTGGTTTTTTGTGTATTGGGGGGGGGGGGGGGTGTATTTGGGGTTTGTGTTGGTCGGTCCTTTGGCACCAGTAGAGAGTATTGAGAACACAGAAGATGCAGATTCTAGATCCAACATCTTTGCAGGCTGTGGGAGAAGGTATAAGAAAAAGTTTATCACTGGGTTGTAGCGTACATAATGCAAAGCAGATCTTTGGGAAAGGGGAAGTTAACTTTCAAAGCATAACACATCTTTGGTAAGTAGGTTCTCCATTGCAATTTTCTTGAGGCTTGTAGTATGACCAAATTTGGGCAGACTCACAGGGACCGTAAAAGGTAAATCCCTGAAACTAGACTTTGTTTAAATTTAAGATCCCTGCTGCAGAGTAGGGGAGGGCTCTATAATTTAACAGTGAAACAAATGGCAGAACTTAATGCATGAAATCTCTTCCTGAATTTTGTTTAGAAGAATATCTTGGACTTGTTCAGACACCTGTCCTGAAAGTCATCAACTTGAAAAACTGATTTGACACAGATATAAGTAACTGACAGTGTTGTTTATTAGGGTGTCAAACACTTCCTTTTATAATAGATTGTGCTTTTGATCTTCAGGAAATACTGATTTTTAGGGGATAGAACAACTAACCAACTAGCTAAAACTTAAGTATTTTGAAGATATTCATTAATTTCTTGATGGTCAAAAGATAATCATGGGTACTGACTCTTAATTTCAGAAGATAACTGAAAATGGAAGAAGTTTATGTGTAAAATGATCTAGGTCTTGGAAAGCCTGTAGTACATAGATTGAAAAGGTTAAGATTTTTCAGGTTACAAAAGGGAATGTGATTTTTATGAAAGATGACAAGTGCAGTTGGGCATTTTGGTCTCGAGTGTTTGTTATATGAATATGGTAGGGAGCATCCAGAAACATTGAAAGATAACAGAGTTGTCCTTTCTCTAATCACTTTTTATATATGTGACTAATAGAAGGGTCTCATGCCAAAAGAATGTGCTGAGGTCAGCAATCTAGATTTCAGGCTTTTGTGAAACTTAAGTTTGAGAATTATGCGATGAAGAATCACATACTTCTGAAATCTAAAAGTTTTTTAATATCTACTATGCACATCTTAATGATATAAGAAACTTACTAGCTATCTAAATCTGGGGAGGGATTTACTGCTTGTTTTGCTGGTGTACGTGGAATTAACATGTTGGATCACTGACATATTTCAATACTGTTTATATTCACATTTGAACCCAAACATGCATGAATTTTAATATTCATTTTGTGGTTCTTAGAGTGCATTACTTTTTATTGGGTCTGCAGTTTTGCACACTTTGGTACTTAAGCCAGTCACATTCCTGTGTGTAAAACTTGATTAATACGTTAGATTTGTAGTATTTCAGTCTGACAGTGGACTGAGATAATCTTTCATCTGTAAAGCTATGTGAATCCTAATTTTAAATATCAAACCACAAAACTTCACAGAACAAGCATTAGAAGGGTTCTTAACTGAGCTGTGTATTTGTTTGCTTCTCTAGATGGAGTCTGCGTGTGTTTCAATTCATGAAGCTTTGAAGTCTGTCATTGATTATCAGACTCATTTCCGGTTGAGAGAAGCACAAGGCCGCAGCAGAGCAGAGGATTTAAACACAAGAGTAGCCTATTGGTCAATAGGAGAAGCAATCATTCTTCTTGTAGTTAGTATTGGGCAGGTATTTCTCCTCAAAAGCTTCTTCTCAGATAAAAGAACCACGACAACCCGTGTTGGATCATAACTGGTAGTGATAATGCTTCAGGTCATTGTGCTATTCACTTGTGAAATTACTGTTCTCCAATTAATTGTAAGTGCAAAGGAACTAAATATGTGAAACAGCTAAATGTCTACCCCTCCTCATTGATTAAAATCACAAAACATACCCCAGCATTTATGAAAGGGACACCCAATTTGAAATATAGAGTAAACAATGTTTTCTGATACTTGTATTAAATATCTGGCAACAACCAGCCTCTCTTTGGTTTTACTGATTTTAATCCAAATTGAGTTTGACTTTACTGATAAGATTACCCATCTGTGGTATAATGCTTTAAAAGAACCCAACAATCTAGTGTCTGATGTGAAAGACAATACTCATGAAAATTTGATTTTACTTTAATTTTCAGGCTGAATGTATTGGATTATAAGCAAGTTAATGTGATGAACTGTAGTTGCAAGATGTGTTGCACTGTTTTGATTTGCTGTAACAAAAAAAATACAATCATATCCTTTGCTTATCTGTAAAACTGTTGCAAGCTTGATACTACATGATGGTGCAAATTCTCCACCTGCCTGGTAAATCTTCACCTTCAAAACCTGCTAAATTTTATACTTGAGTGTATTTGCTTAAACACACACTTCTCTACATTAAAATATAATGCATTTCCTCTTTTACAATGTTTTACTAAACAACTTCTAAACTGAGACTACTCAGAAAATGTGATTTCTCTATTCAAAAATTTAAATCTCCAAGTTGTTCTTAAAAATGCAATAAAATAAGGAATCTTGTAACTGTCACTGAAGCTGTGCAATCTCTGTACTTGTGCTGCTGCAGCTTGTCAGATTTAAGACCAGAGATGGTTTGATTTTTATCAAGCAATACAGCACCAGCACTGGACAGTTATGTTGCATCCATTAGGCACATGCAAAGCTTTTTATTAAATTGTTCTCCTATTAAGAAGCCCATTTGATACTAATACTGCATTGTGTGAGTGCTGTGAACTTTATTTCTGTTTGGTGCACTGATACATTATGGCCTTGTGCATGTAATTGCCACTCTCTTCTGTTAGTAGTCAGGAAAGGTTTTAAATATTTTGGGGTATCTTTTTGGTAGATTTGTAGCTGCATTGCTTCCACTGCTCATGTCTTTAGTTTATGTGTTGTAATAAAATCTTGTTTTATTTGGATGTGGAAGATAGTAAATGTATGTGTATACAAGTAGCTTGAATTGAGCTAGTCAAAATAAGACTAAACTTCTTCAGATGGTTCTGGAGGAATAAATGAACTCTGACCAATTTTTAAGTGCACACAAACAAAACTAAAATGAAAAAAATTGGTGAGTTACTAACTCTAATTCAAAAGACTCCACTTAAGCTAGTTTTCAGCAAGCAGAGAAAGAATGCTAAATCCTCATTAATTGCCTGTATTATTTCCAACAAAAAAATGACAAGTTACACATACACATGTCCAAGTGGCACTTGGACACTCTGAATAATTGATCTAAGATGACCTCACTTTAAAATGGTGTGGTAGTTAAAATTATCTTTGTCTCTGTTGTAAACTGAAAAACTACTCTTTCAGAACTGAAGAAAAAAAACTTTAACACTTCAAAAATGAGTTAAAAGGTCACAGGGTTATTAAAAAGTTTAATGTATATTATATTCAGAATTATGTACAATGTTCTTCTATCTTGTATTGAATTTGTAATACTGCAGTCCCATTTTTGAGGTGCAAGCTTCCCTGAAATGGTAACAGAATCTCAGATCAGAAAACAAAAAAGCTAGTGCTTTCTATTTATGCCTGCACACAATATTCTTGATTGATTGTACCTATATGCTTTATCCTTATGTTTCAGCAACTGATCTTCAGTATTTTTTTTGTTTCATTACACAAATGGTGCAGTTTAGGTGCAAGAGTCAGATAAAAACATGATTTAATTATGATATTTTGACTAATCTTCTGAAGCCTGAATATCACTTGTTGAGTAGCTTTAATCAAAACAAAAACATTTGTTTCAAAAATTGAAACTTTTTTTTTCCACTAAGTCAGTTCTATGTACTGTCAAAATTGGTAAACAATGGGGTAAACAAAGTACCTGGCTGTCACATACATGTCTCTAATTTTTCTTAATGTTTGAATGTGTTGAATGGGACTGTTTAGCTCAATATTATTCCTGCTTAGGTATCTGAACCAAATCTCTGGTATAATGCTGTATAATATGCAGCAATAGCTTAAAAATGCCTTTATTTTGAGGTTATGAAAAACATGATACACATTGAAAAATATTTTTTTTTTTTAATAAGTGATTGGATAGGATATAATAAAACACATGCTACCACTTCAACACTGGGTGAAGAAATGCTTTGTGATTTTTCTTTTTTCTTTTTTATTTTTTGGTTAAAGCTGCATATATGAAAAGAATAGTTCAATCAGTGGTGTGATATGCAACTAAATCACCCTGTGTTAAATGAGATACAACTGTGTTTGAAATTGTGAAAGGTTTCAACTATTCCCTGGATGTTTTATGTTTACATAATTTCTTTTCATGTCCTGAAATGTTAGTTCTTGTTTTAGTTTGAAGGGGAAAAAAAAAGTTTGACTAAGACAAAAAGACCCTGTGAATATTGTATGGGGAAAATACAAATTAATATATGAATGTGATCTGATTTGTTATTCAAAGCTTTTTGGAAGAATAATGCTCCCCTACCAAATGAAAACAAAACAATTTGAGAAGTCAGCCAGTATTTTAACACATTACCTTCAGAAGTGTTAATCTACCTGACATTTGATTGTTACTTCTATTACTGTACACTGAGAACTGTACAAGTCAACTGCTGTTCATAATTAGACATGCTTAAGTCACAGGAAAAACTCAAGTTAGAGCAAGGTGGTGTGGTTACTGGCTCTTTGCTCAGCACATTATCAGTGCATGCAATAGTAATTATAAACTTGTTCCTGTTGGAGTGGAATTTTAACTATTTGACCTCTGATGCCTGGAATGACTTGACCTTGCATCTGTTCCTAGGATGACCTAGAAAGATTTATCTAGTGATGTCTAATGATGGGATATAAGCTTTAAGTAATTCTTATATAGTAGCTAGATGTGTGGTTGGAGGTATTTTATATTGTGTAGCTTATTGTTGAATCTTATCACATACCATTTCGACAACTTTAATTTTTAAAAACCTGACATAGTAACCATCACTGGTACGTGGACAGCTTCCAAAATGGCTTTTTCCCTCCTGTTTTTTCTTCTGTGTTGGTTGCTCTACATTCAAAAATCTTTCAAGAATATTTACACTAAGTGGATTAAAGAAAGTTTTTTGGCTAGAAATATGGGTAAATTCTACTCTTTCTGTGACATGTTACAGTTGTAGTCAAGTAGTGGTGTGGGGTATTTTTAGGTGCCTGGCACCCCAGGATTGGAAGGTAGCTTAAGACTGTGGTGGTGTGCTGCACTGGGGGTGAGGGGAAAATAAGAGAGAGATGGTGCAGTGTTCTTCCTGGATCTCAATAAACAGATGACAACAGATAGCTGTCAGAAACTGCCTGACAACAGATAGCTTAAAAAAATAGCTGTTTTAATGTGACAGAATAAAAAGAGGAATATAGATAGTAAATCTTATGTCCCTTTGGATGCTGGGAACCCCATGTTTGTGAAGCACTAGATAGATAGATTTTCCTGCAGCACACTGCACAGATTCCATCCATGGAAAGGTTCTTCCTCCCTTCCATGCCATGGTGCATGTTTTTTTAGTAATACAAGATATTTTTGCTTTTGAATACCCTCTCTAAACAAAATAAAGTTTATATAAGCTCAGACTTACCCATTTTCTTGGAGTTGGGTTTTATGATAACAGAAGTAACTATAACACCAGAACCTCTTGCTTGGACTTTCATCTACTCTGTCTCTTCATGAGATGTTTAGAAGAATCCCTTCTCTGCTGGAGCTGTGTTGAATATATTTAGTGTCATTAACAGGATTAGCATATGCCAGTTCATAACTCCTGCTAATAGGGCAAGTCAGCACACATAACACAGAATCACAGAATGGCTGAAGTTGGAAGGG